GGATTGCTCGACACCATGCCCGAGTCCATCCGGAACGAGATCGTTTCTGATGAATCTCAATTGATATGGAATCTACCCAACCTGGAGGACGCGGGTATGTCGGCGGATCTCATTGACGCCCAGCTCAACTACATGTCGTCGTGGCTTGGAACCCTTGTAAACCACTATATGCATAACTGTGAGGTTTACGACAGGTTGGAGAGTCATTTGAAGTCGGTGAAGGCGTCGATGGTGTTGCGGGAGCAGAGCATCGCGTTGACAGAATCCCTCAAAGGACTGGGCTCTCTTGTTGAATCGTAGTTCCTCGCTGAATTGGGATACTCTTACCGCCTAATTGCTAGCATTAAAAATAATAGCCCTCTATTACTGCGCACTACAGGATAGCTTTCAGCCGGGGAATGTCGGGCGGTGCCGCCAGATTTCTGCCCAGCGTCCGCGCGAATTGCGGCGGCTATAATTGGCGGGTGCGAATTTCCATCGGCTTTTGATGGGGCGGGGGATTCCCGCTCCCTGATAGCCCAAGGCTGGGCTGCGCCAGTAGCGATGGCGCTACCAGTGAAAGCCCTCCCGTGAGTTGATGGTAGCCCACACCCCGGAGCCTTGGCTTTGATGATGGCCGAGGCGCAGGGACAGAGCCCTCGCCGCTGAACCATTAAGCGATGGGCATGATCCGCGATGTGCAATCAGTAAGTATGGGTGAAGTTATGTAATGGGGTGCGACGCCCTCTCCACCAAACTCGACGTACTCGATTCGGAGATCAAAGACGCAAATCGACTGGCCATCGTCACCCAGTCCTTCGACGCCGTAACAAATGTGAGTGCGACAGCGTTTTATAAAGGCGTGCTCTGTGATGACCAAATCCTCCTTTGAATTTCCAGGTCGCTGGTATTGTAAGAATTGTCCTTTAACCGTAAGCCCCTGGGGCATGTAGCTAAATTCCTCTTCGCAGATCAACGGATACTGGAGGTCTCTGAGGTCTGCCGAGGCTGTGAGTAGTCATTGCAAGCACAAGGCTTGACCAGTGGTTTACCTGACGTCTGGAAATGCAGCACAATGACCCCGACAAGTTCACGAATGTCATGGATGCCATTGGATCACAGAGTCCAACCGGCATCTCGATGACTCTGAGCGTGCTGCACGAAAAGCTAACTGCGCCGATGCCCGCCCTGACCGACAACGCTGGGACGCAGGTCAATAGGCCCCTGCTCGAGAGCATCCGCAGCCTGCTGCAGGACCGCGCCGTCGCGGAGAACAAGTGCTTCACGTACGACATTGTCGCATTCAAGGCCGACATGGCCCGCTGGCTGGAGTACATCAGCAATCTTCAGACCAAGGGTATTGCCCTGGCGGTCATGCAGGAAAACTTCCGACTTGTAGTCGCGCGCAACAACCCAGAATCATACCCCAAGGACAAGCTAGAGAAGCTAGAGAAGTCTGTCACGAGCACCATAAAGTCATGGAAGGACACGCACCAGCAGCGTCTGAAAGCGTACGAGGCAGCGCTGGTTGGTGGGCCTCTGCGCTACTCTGCGACCCCTATTCTCGACAACGCCGCCAACATCCGTGTCGACGAGCAGTATCCAAAGCTGTGGAACCTTATGTTGAGCAGCGGCAAATGCTGCACCCTCTTCACGCCCGACAAGAATGTATTCGCAGGCGAGAGCGGCAAGAAGCGCATCATTACGACCTGGTCGCTGGAGGATCGTCCTTCGTTCTCACAGGCATTCGCACTGGTGCGGGTGCCCGAGAAGAACGTGTTCCAATTGCGTACCTCGCGCTTCGGATTTGCGTCGGAGATGTACACCGTCGAGACCAAGAACAAGTGAGTCCTGTGTGCGTTGCTAGTGAGCGAGACGCCGTTACTGACTTGATCGACGCCACTGCAGTGACTCTCCTCTGCACGTCAAGATCATCCCGCGACAGGACGGGGGCAACCAAGAGCCCCTTGTGCGAATCCTACTGCTCAACGAACAGCTCAGTGGTGTCGACGAGACGATCGACGTCAGTCTGCGTGACCCCAACCTACCCGGTTCCATTGCGTTCAACAACCCGAGCGATCCAGGAGGCCATCTTCTTCACCGCATGGGGCCGCGCAAGCGGGTGCTCTTCTGGATCAACAACCTGACGCCCTCTCGTCACGTCTTCGTGCTGCAGTCCGCGCGCGTCGGCAAGCAGCAGGACGAGGTGCACCTGGTGGCTAACGTTTGGCTACCGGGTGAGCGACTGCCCATTGGCCTGTCACAGCGCGGAGCGGAGCGAGAGGACCTCAACGCGAACATCCGCCTGCGCATCTACAGTCTTCGCGACGGGGAGGCCGTTAACAGGGACAATGTGCACTCAATGTTGCGATTGCACCCTTCGCACGGGCGGCTCGTGCTGGACGAGGGGCGAGCCGACTACCTCTGTGATCTCTTCCTGCGTATCGTTAACCCGACAGGCTTTGCCCGCAACTACGTCGGCACGGCGTTGGCATACGGCGGAAACGATCATCCCTGGGGTATGTATAACTTGTGCGAGGGCGACCTCAGCCGCTGGCTCGACAGTCATATGGTGGTGCAGAAGGAGTCTCTCGAGTACTGCCAGTCTGGTCTTAGGTTGCGCTACGATATCGGTGGCAGTGACACGCCGGATGGCTCGATAGACATTAAGCTGAGCTGAGCTAGCTACTCTGGTGTCTACGTCTTCTATTGTATTTGTTATGTACGCTGTGCCTAAGTGTTCCTTGCCATTATTACTGAAATCAATAGTCCCTCATTACACGCGCATCCTCTGTGTTATCAAGTGATTGTGTACAATGTAGCATCCGTCCCGCACCGCAGGATGGATCATTGTCGAATGAGACAATGGGAGGGAAAAATAACCCACGTCTATTTGATCACGGATCTATATCTCGCAACTGTAACATCAGCGCAGACGCTAAATCGGACTCAAAGGAGGACTTCAGCACTGGATCCGAGTCGGTGTATTCCCAGCTGAGTTTCTTCGAGTCGACCTCTCGTTCGAAATTCGAGCCCTTGACTTGAGATAAAGGAGGCATTGCTTTCAATCGATCGACCAATGCTCACTCTTAGTGGGCTACTACAACTTACTAACCTATCTATCGGAAGTTGCTCAAGTGACAGCTAATAATAAGAGTGCAACAGCTACTAACAGAGGCGGGATAACATCGATAATTCGGCTCCTGTTGCTGCACCTTCGGCGGGAGGAGGAAGAAGATAATTCAGTTGCTCCATCGAACGTATCTTTGTCATTGGAAGATTCATTTGTATCAGGCTGCGGTGACGGCCGCAGTGTGCCACTGTGCACAATGTTGCCGCTCCCACCCTGACCTGGGAATTCGCTAGAATATTCGTCTCGCAAGCCAGGCACTCCGGCTTCGGGCGGATGAGCAGTAACGTTTCTGCTGGTGGGGGCTACGATGTCCACGTTCTCGCCAAGGTCAGGACTGTCCGAAAACTCTGGCAGTGGCCGTGGACTTTCTCCCGCCGCTTCGGTGGGCTCTGGAGTGGGCTCCTGCACCTCTGGATCTGGATATCGAGAAACAGAAGGTCTTGGCACTGCATCTACCTCTGAAATCGAGTCATACGGTAGCGCTGGGGTGGGTGAAGGCGTGAGGGATGTATTGGCGCTGGCATCGGTTGAGGCCAGGAAGTTGCTTGCGTCGAGCTGGGCGGCATACCTGTCCCTGGCAGGTCGACCCGACCGAGTCCTCTTGTAGGCTCCGGGATATTCGGCGGACATGGAGGATGCGTCACAGTCTTCGCGGGGAACCATGGAACAGAATATGCAACCATGCGAGGAGGTGCGGAGGGTGTAGCGCATATAGCGTTGAACTCTAGACGCAGGTTACAGTCAGCGTTTAAATTTCAAGTACCTTTGAGCCAGCAGGTTGTATCCAGCATGTGGAGCACTTACCAGAGATAGCGTGACTCCAGGCGGTCCATAGGTCGTGTGGGATACTGCAATGTCGGATTCCATCGGGTATGTGGCATAATGCGCAAGCGTCTAAGCTTTCTGCTGCCACGGGAGTACATATGCACACAGTCGAATTACAAGTCTATTGGAAGAGATTAGGTTGCGAGCAGATGCTCCATGTACAAAAAAAGATAACCTTAGCGATATCCTCAATCGTGCTACACCGAAGGGCGCACTAAGTAAAGGCGTTGTCGGATGTGAGGTTGGTGAGCGCAATATCCATAAAAAAGGATCGATATTACTTGCTCGGTGTTGTTCCTGTCGCGAAGTTAACGGCGGGGTCCGTACTACTAGCTCTCTGGCCTCCCTCCACTGTGGTTCTGCAGATCAGTGTCAATGAATTACACCTATCTACTTGCCCAACAAGCCAAGGACATCGTGCGCACCTTGGCTGACATAGTACGTTCCAACTGCACTACCGGCACTCTTGGGGTCCATTCGGGTTTCGTCTCCCAAATGTCAGGGGTTTATGACCTACAGAAACTGTAGAAAAATCCTGCATTCACAGCATAAAGGGTTTCAGCGTCCTAATAAACATTCGTTAACCAATGGAAGCACCCTTCCCCACCTGTTCGCCATATGCTAGTATCAGCGCCTGATGTCGCAATCTCGGGCACCTCGCAACTGTTTCAGGACTAGAAGAAGTACAACGCATTGTCGAGAACGTTATCGGTTTCGAAGCTGGGATAGAACGGGTGGAGAAGCATGTGGCTTTTCACATCCCCAGACCGATCCGAGAACTTGCAATGTGAGATATGCAGTGTATGTTAGGGGTAACCTGTTTTTGTTACATGGGTTTTGCCTTTCCCCCCGCAAGACAGAACAACTTGGGAAACAGTATCCGAGTCGGAGAAAGCCACTCTCCTTTGCAACTCCCTTTGACTGTAGGTCACAGGCATTTTATTTTCGGTACAATTTAGTTCCAGAGGAGCAAGAAATGAATGTCACAGTTGGCGCAGGGATACGCATCCACTTTCAGGTCACAGCTACGAGTGTGAACATAGCTGCAACCAGTGAGAGAGCGCGGAAGACGTTGCTCCCGCGCAACCGTCGCAAAGAAGAATTGGGATCCCCAGCTGGTTCCTCCGCCATTCCGCCCTCGCCAGTCGAGGAATCTCCTGGCGTGGCTCTGGCGGCGGGCGTTGATGTCAGTCGAGGAGGGCTTACGTCGCTGTCCCCTCTCTGGCTAGCTAATCCGTCGAGGACAATACCATCATCCACAGGTACCTCACGAGGGCCGTCTCCGCGGACAGGGTCCATGTTGGATACTGCAGCATCGTCCGAGTCGCCCAACAATGCGTCTGGCGTTGGAGCTTCGTCCATATCTCCCGGGTGGGTTCT